CTTTATTGATTTGAGAGAGAGAGGAAGGGAGAGGGAGAGAGAGATGGAAACATTGATGAGAGAGGACATCGATTTGCCACGTCCAGCATGCCCCCCACTGGGGATCGGGCCCACAACCCAGGCATGTGCCCTGACCGGGAATCGAACTGGCAACCTCTTGGTGCATGGGTCAGCGCTCAACCACTGAGCCACACCGGCCGGGTTAGGATACGTGTTTAATCCTTCGGTACCACGTGGGTTTGCTCGTGTTCTTAGGCCAGAAGGTGCACAGCAGCTAAAAGGGGGCGTTTCTGTACCGAGCAGATTAATATGCACCCTCAGTGTGTCTCTCAAGCTCAAGGTGGCCTTTTACACTGCCACTTGTTGAGAAATACATGTCTCAGAAACCCTCATTCTGGAGCACTGGTTGGGGAGCGTTCGGGGAGCATCCATGGGCTGTCTCTGTGGGAGGCGCTGCATTGTCTGCAAGTCCTTATGCATATTTATGGATTGGCTTGCAAATTATACACGGAATACTTGGGGGGTGAGTTAAAGAGCAGACTTGTCTGGCTGCACCCCGAGAGGCTTTGGGGCGGTAGGCCTTGGCTCATCTGGGCATCTGCACATTTCACAGTTACCTTGAGCGACGCTGGGCCAACTCTGAGAGTCGCTGCCGTGTGCCGTGTGACAGAATACAGGAATGCCTTGGTTGCACAGGTCCCTCCTTGCACGGTTGATTAGGCACCGTGTCTGTGTGTTACCAACATTGTGAACTGCCTTTTCACTGGCCGCATCTTGGTTTTCTGTGTCTCCCAGGGAACCCACATGTTTCCATCTATTCCTGTTGACTTCCCAGCCAACAGTGGTGAGCAATGTTGCATGTGAATGTGTGTGATACTATGTTCGCCGTTACTTGATTATACCATTGCACTTTTGCCCCTACTGCTTAATAAAACCAAAGAAAAACAAGAGAAACAAAACCCACCTCGGCTTCGTACAGAGGGAGTCGATGGGCATCATTAGACATGCAGACGTTGAGGAGTCTCTAGCTTGCGTTCAGCGGCCTTTGGACACAAGCCAGGCAAATGCTGGTTCAACTGCAGGGAAAATGAACAGCTCAACAAAAGTTAGGACTGCGACAGTCGAGACTGGGTCTGAAACCTGCACAATTAGCAGATTTAAACTAGCTCGGTGACAATAATTCTTTTTCAGAAGTGGCGTATTTCTTGCATACGCTTAGCGCTCTCAATTTCTAACACATTTTTTGGGGTGTGTGCAAAACAAAGTGGTTGCCAGTAATAGAGTGACAGTGAGGAACCTATTTTCCACACCTTTCATTTGAAGAGTTGGAGTGACAGTCATTCCCACTGTAATTACAGTCCTTGAGTGGTTGTCAAATTCTAAGGGAGTCTCGTCTGTTATTCAGACATAAGCAAGATGTTGGTAAGACTTCTATTTGCCGACCACGTGTTCGTGTCGGTGGCTGAATCTCCATCCTGAAAAGATGCTTGAACTCTTTTTTTTTTTTTATCCTCACCCGAGGATATTTTTCCATTTTTTGTACGGATAGAGTGGGAGGGAGAGAGAGGAAGAGAGAGAGAGAGAGAAACATCGACGTGAAGGGACACATCGAGTGGCTGCCACCCGCATGACCAACCAGGGCTGGGGACAAACTGCAACCGAAGTACGTGCCCTTAGCGGGAACCGAACCCGGGTCTCTCCGGACAGCAGGCCGACGCTTTAACCGCTGAGCCAAACTGGCCAGGGCAAGATGCTTGAACTCTTAATGGTTCTTGCGACTTGCCTTTTTAAAATATTTTTTTTTAATATGTTTTTATTGATTTTTTTTTTTTTTTAGTTAGAGAGAGGTAGAAACATTGATGAGAGAGAGAAACATTGAAGGGCCACCTCCTGCACGCCCCCTACTGGGGATCAAGCCCACAACCCGGGCATGTGCCCTGACCGGGAATCGAACCAGGACCTCTTAGTCGATGGAATGATGCTCCATCCACTGAGCCACACCGACTGAGCAGCAACTTGACTTCTTCAAGTGACTTTGCCCAGTGAGTAATTAGACATCAGTCGGATAGCAGAACCACCAGGGCTGGTGAAGTATGTAGATGATGGTTATTAGTGTAGGCTGTCATTTTAAGATCTTGGTTAAATATCTCTACAGTTTTCCATTAAAATTTTTAAGTGTTTTATTTTGAGATATTTGTAGATTTACATTCAGTTTTAATAAATACAGTGATACCTCGGTTCTCGAACATAATTCGTTCCAGGAGGACGGTCGAGAACCAAATTGTTCGAGAACCGAAGCAATGAAACCCAATAGGAAATAATGGAAACTGGATTAATTCGTTCCAAGCCCCAGAAAATGCCTATTTACTGGCCTAATTTGTATATAATATGTAGAAAAACATAAGTCTCAACAAGAAATAAGAGTGTACAGTATGTCTAAGGGTTCAATTCAGTGTAAAGCGTGACTCTCTCCACAAAGCGTGACTCTCTCCACAAAGCGTGACTCTCTCTCTGCACTCACACTGATGCCGCAAGCAAGGCGCGCTGGGCCGAATGAACGCCATTCGGCTCAACTCGGCTCATCTCGGAAGTTCGAGTTCCAAATATTTGTTCGGATTCCAAGACAAAAGTTTCTCGAATCTCCTGGTCGAATACCGATTTGGTTGAAATCCGAGGCGTTCGAGAACCGAGGTATCACTGTATTCCACAATGATGCTATACGTTTACCCAGTTTCCCTGGTGGTAACACCTTCTAAATCACAGTTCAGTGTTATAACCAGGATGTTGGTATTGATACTGCCAAGATAGAGGAGGATCCCATCACCTCAAGGATTCCTCATGGTACCGTTTTTGTAAACACACCCTTCTGTCTCAGTTCCTAACCCCTGACAACCGCTAATGTATTTTCTGCAGTTTGGTCATTTCGAGAATTCTGTAAATGCAGTTATACAGTATGTAGCCTTCTTTTGGGTTTGTTTTCCCTCCTTCACCCAGCATAATTCTCTGAAGACTCATTCAAATTGTTGCACTGTTAATAGTTTGTTTTTATAGCTTTGCAATGTTGCATCATACACTTGTAAACCATTTACCCATTGAAGGGTATGTAGGTTGCTTCCAGTTTCGCATGGATGGAAATAAAGTTTCTAAGAACATTCTTGTTTAGATTTATTTTGGAAGAAGTTTGCATTTCTCTGGGGCTGATTCCTAAGAGCCTAACTGCTGGTTGTATGTTGCTTATTTAGTCTTTTTTTTTTTTTTAAAGAAACCGCCAAAGTGTGTTTCGAGTGGCTATGGCAGTTTTCCCGCCCACCCGCGGTACATGAGTGAGCTGGCACCTCTGCATCCCTGTCAGCATTGGGTGGTGGAATTTTTAGTATTATTAATCTATTTTAGCCCATTTGATTGATGTGGAATGGCATCTCATTGTGGTTTTAATGAACATCTCCCTGACGGCCAACAGCGTTGAACATCTTTTCATGAGCTACTCAATCATCAGCCTCCTCTCAGGCGGAATGTCTGTTCATGTCTTCTTGGTCCATTTGTAATCGGATCCTTTCTTTACTGTTGAGAGTTGAGGGCTCTTTCTCTATCCTGATACGAATCCTCTGGCAGACATGTGGTTTGCAGATATTTTCTCCCGGCCTGTCGCTTGTCTTCCGTCCTTTTGATGGGTTTTTCACTGAGCAAAGTTTCAGTTTCGATGCGGTGCAACTGGGCAGGTTTTCCTTCTGTGGACTGTGCTTTGGTGTGAAGTCTAAGAACATTGTCCTGACCGAAATCTCAAACATTTCCTCCTTTTATTTTTACCTAAACGTTTTATAGTTCTGTTTTCCATCTCAGTCCGTTTTGAGCTGATTTTTGCGTGAGAGAGGTGTTTTAGGTTGGCGTTTGTTTTTCCCTGGTGGATGTTCGGTTGTTACAACATCATTTGTTTAAAAGGCTCCTCTTTCTTGCCCTGGGCGGTTTGGCTCAGCGGTTAGAGCGTCCGCCTGCGGTCCAGAGAGACCCGGGTTCGGTTCCCGCTAAGAGCATGTACCTCGGTTGCAGTTTGTCCCCGGCCCTGGTTGGTCGTGCGGGTGGCAGCCACTCGATGTGTCCCTTTCGCATCGATGTTTCTCTCTCTCTCCCTTCCTCTCTCTCCCTCCCACTCTGTACAAAAAATGGAAAAATGTCCTCGGGTGAGGATAAAAAAAAAAAAAATAAAATAAAATAAAAGGCTCCTCTTTCTCCACGATTCCATTTTTGTCTCCACGTTACAGCCCTGGATAGACCAACGACTGCAAGACAAAAGCGGAGGGAACTGATTTAATTGCCATATCATTTCGCCGATACCTCTGGATATTTAAGGAATGAGACACAGAGGTGGCCTCTTTCTTTAGAAAGTATCGGACCCACGATTCCCAGGTTTAACTGCCTTTGAAATCAGAGCGTGTGCCGTGAATGTCTGTGTTATTTCAAATGACTGGAGATTTTCATCTCTGGAACATTTTGTCAAATATTCCTACTGATACTGTTATCAAAACACGAAGAAATTTGCCTTCAGATACTTACTTTCTTTTGATTCCAGTAATCGTCAGAATGGCGTAGCACACCCATTGTGGACACAGTTTCAGTTTTTTAAATTTCATTTTCCCAATGCATCATCACATGGATGGTTTCGGAATATTTCACAGATGAAAATATAAGAAAAGAAAACATTTTGGCCTGGCTGGTGTGGCTCAGTGGTTGAGCATTGACCCTGCACCAAGAGGTCACCGGTTCGATTCCCGGTCAGGACACACACCCAGGTTGTGGGCCCGATCCCCAGGGAGGGACATGCAGGAGGTGGCCGGTCAATGTTCTCTGTCATCAATGTTTCTATCTCTCTCCCTCTCCCTTTCTCTCTCTCTCCAATCAATAAAGAAAAAGAAAAAAAGAAAAGAAAACATTTCAACGCAAATGTCATTACACAGTATCTGAGTCCGTAGTGATGCTGAGCGTGGTCCTGTGTTTTCTTCTAGATTTATCAGCGATGCTGGTTAGTATTCAAGAAAGCGTCCAGCAAGGGCCCCAAGAGACTGGAGAAGTTTTCCGACGAGCGCGCTGCGTACTTTCGGTGTTACCACAAGGTAAGGCCCGGCCGCTGCGGCCTCCTGTCCTCTGCCCACGAGCAGGTCGCGCGAGTCCCTGGAGTCTGACGACGTGCCTCCATTATCCGACCAAGGTACAGATCGTTATTTTTCCAGGCCCAAGACATCTCTAAAATAAAACCTGCTTGCCAGTTGTTTAAAATAATCGCCTAGTGCCACGTCAGGTTCGTGGTCTCCTACCGTTCGGCGTGGTTTTCCAAGCTCCTCTGGAAGAACGTACCATGTTGCTTTGTAAATTTTCAGCTCGCGTAGCGGACCTCACTTCCAAGGTCAAGGCCGCATGCGGCTAAGGTCTGGATCCCACAGATAGATCAGGAGCTCAGGTGCAGGGCCTGAGGAGAATGCACCCTCATTTAAGCTTGGAAGGTGGGGAGAGGAGACGGGGGGGGGGGTGTGTGTGTGTGTGGCGGAAACAGGTGATTGGTGGAGGAGGAGGAAGTCCCACCCGTTAGTTTATTTCTTTAAGTTTGATGAGTACATTTAATTCAGACTTCCAGTTTTCTTAATAGTAGCAGCGAGACTTCCTCACTGAAGGTAGGGACTGTGTGTTAAAATGCATCGTGCAGGAGTAGGAAGTTAAGGTGAATACAAGGTGGACTTACTGACTGATTCACAGATTAGGCTTGTCTTCCCCTCCACATGGTGATATTTTTCCTGGTCCTCGTTGGGGGCAACCTGTGTCTCCTCTCTGTCCCTGATGACGCGGGAAAGCACATGGCTTCCCTTTGTTCTCCCCAAGGCTCTGGTTGTCCCCATGCTGGGAAGACGCTGTGGAGAAACCACGCTCATTTTCATCGTTTTGGTTTTCCATATCGAAGGTTTTTATCCTCACCGGGTGAAGATTTACCGGGGGGCTACTTGCCATGGAAAATGTCACGTGAAACCAGTCGGTCCACCAGCAGAGACATTTGGCTGGGCCAGGGAGTGACTAACCCTCCTTTCCGGTGAATTCTCCCAAAGTGGCGGCCTGGCATCTTAGTAAGGGTCTGGGCTGACCCCTTGGTTTACACAGTAAATGACCCTGGTCATTTGTCCCAGCAGCCGGAACAGACTAAGGTACCGTCAGACTCTTGTTCTGCCGGGTCCTCGTACGCGGGCCCTGACCTCGACAGTCCTGCCCCGTTTGGGGAGAGTCCCGCATCCATCCGGGAATAGCTGGTGCTTCGCACCCCCCGCCTGTGAAAAGTAAAGACACAGGCTGCTTACAGACCTATGCAGACCTACGAGAAGAGAGCGGACCGGCAAGGGATACTTCGTAGGAACTCCCCGAACCCGGCCCCGAACCCAGCAAGTGGTCAAGGGCACAGAGGCTCCGAACGTTCCTCACAACCTCTGCTGCTTCTGCGGTGGCCCACCCCCCGGGGCTGCCAGTTCTCGGCCCCCAGAGTCTGTTCCAGACGTGTGTCAGTCACATCATGATGCTCCAGCTCAGAACCCTGGGTCGAGTCCTTGCAGCGGACACAGCTCACACGGCCCGACTCCCTGTGGCCTGTTGAACCTCAGCTCGGTCTCCCTGAGTCCCACGGTCCTCGGCCCCAAGGACCCTGGGCTCCTTGGTCTCCCTGGAGTCGGCCAAGCACATTCCTGCTTTTGAACTGGCTTGTCCCTCCCCTTGGAGCACCGTCCCCGCAAATGCCCACACAGCGCGTTGCCTTACTTCGCTCTGGTCACTGCTTACATTTTCTAAAGCCATGTCTCCACCCTGGTATTTTATTTGGGGTCCTTGGACCCCCCCACCCCCCATCTCCTTTAATGTTTCTCTTTAACACTTATCACTACACACATATTTACCCAGCTGTGTCGTACTGTCCCATCACCATAAAATACGGTCCGTAAGGGCAGAGATTTCTGGGGTGGGGGTGGGGTGGGGTTAGGCATGGTGCTCCAATCGTTTTCAGGATTGGTTGGAAAGCAATGAATATTACCGATAGAAGACATGGAATACAATCCACGTCTTTGTGTCAGACTTGTTTTCCACTTACCAGACAAAGAAATCTGTACCTGAGACATCCGCAGCCAGGGAAGGGAATTTCGATCGGGAGTCAAGGGGTGAGGGAGGACGGGGGCAGAGAGCGGGGATGGGGAAGTTTTCTGAGGACAGACGCAAAGGCAGGACCCAGATGGATCGACAGTCCTGCCCCGAATGCCCAACAGGCAAGGGGAGATGGAGGACAGACCTGCTCTGTTTCAGACCGCTACCTGCTGGCTTTGGACCCGACTATGTGAGTCTCTGAGGAACGTGGTAAACCGGTGCTCTTTCATCTCTGATAATCATTCACCAGAGTTCAAAGCCTTAGAGCGGAAGCATTATCTACACGAGGCCCCCAAGCCCTTGATGAGCTCCTGTAGCTGAGTCATCCTTCGTCTTCTTTTAGATCTGATACATTTAGTATTAATCTCCTGCGGGCGCAGCGGAAGCTGAGTGGCTCTGTGATATGCATTTTTTATCTAAATGCTGTGTAATTTATGGATCTCGATTATAAAAGACTGGGGTTGGACGCAGCACACTGTGACTAAATTTCAGAGTGTATCTGGCTCTACATAGAGCAATTCCCGAAAGAGATGAGGGCCGTCGAGTTATGCAATCTGGTCGGTACAGGGTCCGTGTGACTGACGAGTCGGTGTGACTGACGAGTCGGTGTGACTGACGTCGACGTGTCTGTCCTGTAGGACATCTGCAGCATCGCTGAGAACGCAATGCTCCTGTCATTTCATTTTGAGAGATTTTATTAAGGGAAAAAAATGCCAGTTTTGCCTATCTGATCCTTTTTGGATGTTTTCAAACAAGAAATTGGCTGTAGAGTTTTAAAAATTGCCCTGGCCGGTGTGGCTCAGCAGTTAGAGCGTCGGCTCATGGACCAGAGAGACCTGGGTTTGGTTCCTGCTAAGGGCACGTACCTCGGTTACAGTTTGTCCCTGGCTCTGGTTGGGGTCATGTGGGTGGCAGCCACTCGATGTGTCTCTCTCATATCGATGTTTTTTTCTCTCCCTCTTCCTCCCTCTCTCCCTCCCACTCTATCTAAAGATAAATGCAACAATATCCTCAAGTAAGGATAAAAAATAAAAATAAAAAGTTGGTGCCTTCCTCATTGCAAATGTGGTAACGGTGCTCTCACGCAAAAACTGGAAAATAATATATGAGTAATGCAGACATGGAATGATCCGTTTTTCCTCCCTTGCCTCCTCCGTGAAGCATCCCTCAGACTCGCAGCTGACAGGGACGGCTGTGAACGTGATGAGGATTGGCAGCCACAGTAAGACTGCAGTGACTTTAAATATAGTTCCTTCTCGTTAAACCAAGTCCACTGTTTGCATTCAGGCAATCGGAGTTGTTCACACTCCCCGGGGAGGGTGGAGCCTTAGTTTTACTTCTTTACAGTGAGAAACAGTTGGGAAGGCATCTGAGTGGAAGGAAGACTGTCTCTTTGGGGACCCAGGCAGATGGCGTGGGGGAAGCAGGCTGGACCCGGGTTTGGGAGACCTGCTTCCTAATCCTGGCTTTGCTACCGTGTGTCCTGCAAGTGGCCTCCCTGCTGTGTGAAGGGGACCTCCAAGGCAAGTCACGCCGTAGCTTCTCCACGTCACTGCGAGTTCAGTTCACCTTGAACCCGAGGACGAATCCAACAATTCCCCAACCACGCCAGAGGGGGTCGCAGAGGAGCATTCTGGGAGGACCAGGGTTCTGTGGTCGAAGTTGGGGAACTGCCGCTTGTCCATCCCGTTCTTGAGGTTCCTAATCCGCGGCATTTAGAGAGGTTCCGGGCAGGCCTACCGCTGGGAGACCCGGGCTGCTCTGAGTCGGCATTTCCCAAACCAGTCGCGCATGGAGCTGTCGTTCTTGGTTCAGATGACACGTGGCGTGGACCCAGCACACTCAGTCCTGGGTGGCACAGCTTTTGATGGCTGCTTCTGTATGTCGCCTTGTTGATCACACGCCCCTGGGCCCACAGTTATCTCCGCAGTGAGCAAATAGGAATGACCTGTCCTGCATCACCGAAATCCCAGGGTCACCTGCACATCAAAGGTGTCAGTGTAAATGTCTTTGAGGGACGAAAGTCCCTCTTCCTGCGGGGAATATGGCCGTTCTCCCCTTGGCCATTCTGCCTAACCTTCTCCGGCTCGTTGGTTCCGCCAGTCTGTCCTTCGTAGTGACCCGGTCACCCTCACACCTCCGGAGCTCCGTCACTGACGGTGTTCTCGGTTGCTGCAAAAGTAAGGTTCCAGGTTCCCCACAGGGAGCCAACGTCCTACCCTCATTTCTGTGGCACGTCTGCCGGCGTATCTTGCGCGTGTCCTGTAAGTTTCTCCAACGACTCGTTCTCTGTGATGTAGTCCCCCCCCAGCCCCCCCAGAACGTGTCCACTTCTGACAGGCTGTCTGTACCTTTTCAGAATCTGGAACTCTAGCCGAGCCTCTTCTCTCAAGGGCTCTCAGGACTTGAACTTTTTATTATTACAAATAAAGCTGCTGTGAACATCTATGAACATATTGCTGCGTGAATGTAAGTTTTTATTTCTCTGGGGCGAAATCCCAAGAGGGAACATGCCGGGTCACATGGCAGTTCCATGTTTTCTTTGACAAGAGACTGTCAAACTCTGGCAGGTGCCGTTTTACATGCCCACCAACAGAGCTTGAATGGGCCTCTTCCCCGCATCTTCACCAGCACTGGGTGTTACCGCTTTCTTTATTTCGGTCATGCTGCTCGTGCCAGCTCATTGTGATTTAACCTGCATCCCCTGATGGCTTATGATATTGAACATATTTTCATATGCACTTGTTTGCCATCTTCATATCTTTTTCTATGAAATATGTATTTTACCTGTTTTTTAACTGGATTTTTTAAACGATTGTGTTTGGCAGGTTTTAAAATAAATGAAGTTTAGATATTAGTCTTTTGTCAGATATGCGGTTGCACATATTTTCTCCCATTCCATAGCTTATGTTTTCATCATTTTAACAGGGTCTTTTCACAGAAAAAA